CCCCACGGAACTTAAAATTTTAAAATCTTGATTAATATTAAATCCATTTTTTTTAGTTATAATGTTTTACATTTATATATTTTTCCTTTAATTTTATTATAAAAATAATTATATATAATAAATCAAACATCTTCTTCCATGAGAAAAAATAAAATATTTGATGCAGAGAGATTTTCTTTTGGAAATAGTATAAGCTCGAAATATCTTATATGGATGAGCGATATATAGTCTAATACTTTCAACCAAGCGATCACGTACATCCACCTGCAGCGTCAAGTATCCTAGAGTCATATATTATTTACATACCTAAGATGCCTTAACCCATGAGGATTCACGTTACGAAAAATCGAGTTGTATATTTAGTTGGCTAACGTTACGTTCATTTTGCATATTGCTTCGAAATAAAATAGCAAAAGGTTCTTTAAATCTTTAAATAAATCTTTAAATCTACAGATAGATATTTTGCAGATTTGGAAATTGAAAAGTCAAGTATCAAAAAATATTAAAAATTTAATTACGTAAAAAAGGAGGTAAAGTTTTAATTCCATATTTTTAAAAACACGATATTTTTATCTCTATATCTCATGTGGTAGAGTACGGTAGCATAACTTTTCCAAAAGAGGAAGTGAAACTGCAGCATGTCAAGTACGGTTACACGCAAACTGTCAGTTAGGCAGTTGCGATCCACACACACATACGATCCCACAAGATTACGTTATTATCACCGCGAATTGCATGATATACGAATAACGGACTCGTCGGTGAACGATGAAAGAATAAAGATAATAATTCCGTGCTTAAAATTCTGGTAATACGGGATTTCTCAGAGCTGGATTTAACTCACGCAATGCCTACTAATTATACAAGAATATACGCTTTTTTCGTTCGACTTTATAAAATATTTTACCACATGTCAACATATCAGAAACTTTCTAGATAATCATCGGCGCGTAAATCTCTTCATAATTTGGTTGAAAGTTGGACGGAAATTTTTAAAAAGTTTATAAGAAAGCTTGTGCGCATCTATATGAAAAATTTTTTTATAATTTCAGAAACACACTGCCTATCAATTTTTTAAATTACCTATCAGACGAAATCTCAAGATTATATTACTAATATAATATTTTTAAAATTAAAAAATTATATAGTAAGAAGTTTATATTTAAAAGATGATGCTTAAAAGATGAAATTTATATTTAAAAGATGGCTAACAATTAAATAGTGAATTAAATTCCTATTATTTTTATATTCACTTTTTAATTCTACAGACACTCTTTAATTCTACAACTATAACAGCTTTAATATTAAAAACATAACTATATTTATACAGAAATTAAAGTTAAATATATGTTTTCTTTTTATTTCAACTGCGTATGCATTTGGTTATGAATAAAATGTTCGGAGCGTATAATATTCCAAGCAAATTAGATTTTGGAAAAATAGCTGTAACTAAATTTAATAAAGCATAAAAAACTAAATAAACATATTTAAATCAAAAGGTTTAGTGCAGGAGTGGAATAAATCTATCATTTTTTTATAAGGTCCGTTTTAAATATGAAATAATATCTAAAATAAACGTTATAGTTTATGATCCTACCTTTATATCTTGCCCTTAACCCTTCAATTTATAATTCTGACCACGCGATTATTCTAGTGCTAACGGCAATGGTTCTTCGGGAATATCATAAGTTATGAGTGGTCAATCTCATAAATATCTACCTACCCTCGGGAAGTCCCTTGGTAATCGTCAGTCGTACATCTCCGGGCAATAAAGCAAAATCGAGGTCTAGAGAAGTTTGAGGGAGCGTCGAAATACTGTCGCGAAAAAAAAAAAAAAAATGATAACTACGTCGCCTTAGTTCCACGTTCGCGTCACTTATTAATTGAGCAGGATCTTACGATAGACTGTGGCGGCACAGAAAACTTCACCACCGCATCGCACCATGGACAATAGAAGAAGGGAGGCGAGCGGTTAGGTGATGGTAAATTTCTTACCACTTCCACACCTGTGTATGCCAATCTACTACCGGGCGATGCACACGGATCGTCGTCAGCTGATCGTCTGTCATGTGCGTGGGGGCGTATTAATTGTCGGACGTTACCTGTCCGTTTAAAGAACACGCAATTATCGCGGCATTAAATTTCTATCTGAGTTGCAGCATCGAATTTCTATCCGAGTTGCAGTCAATCACTACCGATCGCTCTTTAAGTGTCCTAAATAATCGAGAAATTCTAGCTTGTTGTGCTGTTTCCCTTTCGAGACAAGAGAACTCTCCATGACAAACGATTAATGATTATCTCATAGATTTTCCTCGCGAATAAAATGATATTGTCGACGAATGATATGATATTATGCATATAATATTATATAGATAGAGATATACAATATATTATAAATAATATTGTAAATATAAATGTTATTTTATATATAATTGAAGTAAGAATATATTGTACGATTGTCAGTATTTTGATATACGATGCTATTATAATACATGTCTCTCTTTCTCTCTCACAGTTCCATAAAATAAAAAAGATAATATATCATTTTATTCAAAAGAGATTACACAATTTTACTTGCAATTTCTATCCGAGTTGCAGTCAATCACTACCGATCGCTCTTTAAGTGTCCTAAATAATCGAGAAATTCTAGCTTGTTGTGCTGTTTCCCTTTCGAGACAAGAGAACTCTCCATGACAAACGATTAATGATTATCTCATAGATTTTCCTCGCGAATAAAATGATATTGTCGACGAATGATATGATATTATGCATATAATATTATATAGATAGAGATATACAATATATTATAAATAATATTGTAAATATAAATGTTATTTTATATATAATTGAAGTAAGAATATATTGTACGATTGTCAGTATTTTGATATACGATGCTATTATAATACATGTCTCTCTTTCTCTCTCACAGTTCCATAAAATAAAAAAGATAATATATCATTTTATTCAAAAGAGATTACACAATTTTACTTGCAATAAAAAATTATATCTTTAATCATATAATAATAATTACAGCAATTGTGATCAGAGAAATAGCATTTTAATATGTAATTTCAAAATTATTGATTAATCATATTCAATGTAAAATGTACCGTAATAATATATGCGCTTGTATCTTTTACAACACATTTATAAATTATTTGATCAGAAACATTAATTCTTCCGCTTCATCATTAATCCATTACACGCTTTAATTTCTTGTGTTTCATAATCTCAGATGTGAGAAATTCGCATTTCTGTTTGGAAATTTTTAGTGCTGTTTATTAAAATTTCATCATTTTTATCAAAAGCTGGAATTTTTGTATTGTTTTTTCTTTAAAGGTATTTATACATACAAATTTTTGAAATTATTTTAGAACATATTGGTTCATATGATTTTGCACGTGCGCATCGCGAAAAAAATGCATCTTTTAATTTTAGCTAGAGTTTATATGTTAAATTTTTTATTTACTTATTTTATTTACAAAGTATATCGATTATTTGCTAATTTTTTATCATCAATATTCTATGATAGCGTAATTCTTGCAATTAGTCGCTTATTGCTCTATTTGCCAGCTTAAAAATTATAATGACAAACTTGGAAAGAAAAACTTACGAAGATAGCTCTTGCGTCTACAGATGCATTTTTAGAGATCGTTAGCGCAAGCGGATTAATGCTTGGTTCCGTTCTGCTTACAGCGGAAAGACCTCGGTCGTCTCGTTCCGTTCTCCACACTCTAATACCTTCTTCGTATCAACGGCTCGTAACCAGGTTAATACACACAGTCTAGCTCTCAATTGCGCGATTATCACGCGAGCAAAGTCGCGGATACATTGCGTTTTACCGATCCCACATATCTTTCTTCTTTTGTAGTTTTAAAAAATGCCTGGATACATTTAAATAACCATTAAAACAAAATTTCTTGAATAGCAATTAGATTGAGAGTTTAACATAAAACTTGTTGCATTATTTTTTATGTAAATAATAATAGCTGGGGCAACACATTCTTATCAATTTTGGATTTTTTTACTTGTTTTATTTCATTTAATTTGCAATCCTTATCAGGGATATTCAGTAAATTAATTAATTAAAAGAAACAGATTTTGCATCAGAAATTTGTTCGACGAGTTGTTCCGTTATGAAAGGTTGAAAGTATTTTTAATAGATTTATATTGCACAGATATAACTTTAAGTATATACAATAGGCAACACAGATAAAAAGCAAGTATGTAGCGTGTAACTAATGTTTAATGTGTGCTTTTATAATTGCGTATATTCGCATATTTCCATTGCCTCGATGGCGAACGATGTTACGTTCCGTTCTGACTACGTTATAATTTTAATTGTTATATATAACTAATAATTAACATTTTTTTGACATTATTTAATTGAATTGTCAAGAATAAATCGATTTAAATATTGATTAATCAATTAAGCTTTAAAAAAAATTGATATTAGTATAAAGCAAAAATCTACGAGATATGCATTGTGTTACGGATCTTGTATGATAATTTAATACTATTGAATATAAATACCGATAAAATTAAAGTTGAGTATCACTCGAATGCTCGCAATGCTAAATTTCATGTTTGAACTCGACATTTCCCATCCGAACTTTCAACAATGGATACGAACAATCCATGATACGATTATACGCATGTACACATGCGTACTTTTCTCATGTGCAAACTGTATTATGTTTTTGCTAATCGAGAGATATTCGCATGATGCGTGCAATCGAGTGCACACATACGGATCGAGAAAATACGCTAGAAATGGTTATTGACACTGAAAAACAGATTTTCGAAAAGAGCTAAGCTTTTATATATATTTTACATATTGTTTTAAGAGAATAAAATCTTATAAAAATATTCACAGAATCTAATAAATTTGTCTTCACCAAACTTGCTAATTTTATTCATAGTAAAGGCAATTATGTCTTATTTTGTGCGAAATAGATACGTAATGTATAAATATATTAACGTATATATATATTCTGTAGATTCGGATGTCACTGTGACATATTACAAAGGGCTTCCCAGAATCACGGTGCCTCTTCCATCTAGAAGAGAAAATTGCTCGTTCACCATGAAGCCAATAACACATACAATCGCCAATTTTTTAGATATGTTGAAGACAGAGGATCGTGGCATCGATCGAGCATGCATAACATCGTTAGGTGAGATATCGTATAATTTTCCTTAGCGGCTAATTAATAATTAAAGTATTAGAAACGGAATCGGATAGATCTTTATATAATAATGCAAGATAAAAGCTTTGATTGTTTTTCAGATGGCATCAGGATATCTTCCAGTAATACGATAGAATCACTTTTAGAAGAGGATTTCAAATTAGTAATAAACGATAACGAATATATTGTTTCGCCGCCGTTGCAAGAAAGGTGCACGATAGTGAGTTATCACATAAAGACGAGCCTTTTATCCGACTTTGTATTTTTAATATATAATCTATAAATGCGTAATTATGAGATGCTCTGCTTCTTGATGTCGATTGATTAGAATTTTAAACGAGCGATATTTTGGCTAATCATAATTTTCACACTCGGCGATATCTTTTACAGTTCACATATTTTCTTTGTCGAACCAAATGTAAACTTACAAGTATCACTCTACATTTCTCACTTTCGCAGGAGGATATTCAAAAACTTGGAGATATACAAGCACTTATCGCACAACTATACGAAGCGTTCCACGTGCGAGAATATCAAGTCGATATGGAAAGATCGGTTGTGGCCGAGCTGGAAGATATTAGATTACAACTAATACCTTTGGAACAGGTGAAAATGTTAAAATAATATTTTATATTATAGATTCCGCGACATACATACACGTGTTATATACATAAGACATGGATATATTTATGTGACAGTACATAGGTTTGTTAATTGATTTAATAGTAATTAAACGAAGCGCATGCATCGATTACCTTTCCATCGTAAACGTGCATAAATTAGTTTAAACGCGGCCACACTTCTATTGTCAGTCTTTTTTCATATACTACACGTCGGTTTTACAACTCTTCTTAATTGCCATATTCTTCTAATTAGCACACTCGTATCGCGCTTCGCACACCCGACTGAAGAAACAGCAATACTTTTCTAATCCCATCTTCATGCGAATTTCACTTGCTATATTCGCTATTATGCAATGTCAAAAGAAGAGAATTTTTATAAAATATTTCTTACATCTTTTTTTTTCTTTTTTTATGAAATTATAAAGCAGAAAAAAATATATCACTTTAGCTTCCACAGTCCTCCCTGATAAATTTATCCATCTCTGATATTATCCACACATCTTTTTTTTTAGTTACATATAAGATATGATAGAAAATAAAATATATATTTTTACTAATAGAAATACCTAAATACAGTACAATGACAAAAAATGATAAAAGAATTAGAAGAAAGTATGAATTTTACATTATCTTAATTGTTCTAGAAATTGCTAGAAATACAAAATGCTGCTTATAAGAGAGCGAATTTCTTTATCTGGACGTTCCTAATTATGATGTCAATCCAATTTGGAGCATTAGCCAGATTAACCTGGTGGGAATATTCATGGGATATAATGGAGCCCGTCACTTACTTCGTCACTTATGGCACTACTATGATGTGGTTTATTTATTACCTCGTCACCAGACAGGTTGATTTTATAATAAAATATACATGTAGAAATCTATAATATTACGAAAATTATCAAAAATACATTATATAATGTTAAAACTATATATAATATTATATAACATCGACACAAATCAACTATTTTTCTTTATATGTTTATATAGGAATATATGCTGCCGGATGTGCTGAATAGGCGTCATCTCATAGTACTTCATAGAAGAGCACGAAAGATCGGTCTCGACATTAACTTGTACAATTCGTTAAAGGATCGAGCTTACGAATTAGAAACCACTCTGAAAGTTATTCGCGGTCCTTTATACGACCATAAGATGCAATTGGAGCGAAAGCAACGCGCCAGATCTAGCTCCAGTAGCAGCTCAAGATCGCCAAGTTCCTCGCCTAGTCCCAGTCCCAGCCCCGAAAGAGATGTTCCTAAAACCACGTCAGAACTGAAGAAACATCCCGACGAGGGATCTAAAGTTTAGTCAAGATGGATGAAAGTTGGATCAAGGTTTGTCAAATTAAGTTCAACGTAGAGTGTGCGATAAAAAACCGTAGTAACGAAATCAACGATTACGGATCGACATTATCTTTTTCCAACGAAGTCTTGGATATATTCAAAAGAGACTTTTTCAAGTCGCGCGATGCACTCAGGGTAATTTTTAAGTCCGCGAAATCGGTGCTGAACGCGATCAGATTGCAAGACAAAGGGGAATGTAATTTATTTTTGTGTTTGTGTGCGTTTGTGTAAAGAAACCTAGAGTGATATCTTCAGATCTCGATTCAGTCTTCCAAGTATCGGCGGCAACCCTCACCACGCGTATTTCACAGGCATTAAAATATCGCGTTTATCGAATGCTCAATGCTGTCGACGTGTTTGGAAGACATTAGAGAAAAATATAGGAGATAATTATACCAGGCATCATAAATGTCATAACAATCGCTAGATAAGCAGTCTTCGAACCAGCTAGCACTTTGACAAAAGAGAGTAACATTTCACAAAACTTTTATAAAAGTTTTATAAAATAAAAGATGTTTTATTTGAAATACAACATGATCAAAATGACGCATGTCAAATATGACGCGTTTTTTCCAAAAATACATTTGGCAAATATTAAGGCATTTATGATGTCCAGTATATGTTAACTTAGTGTATGCTATTTTGATTAACTCTTTGTTGTATGTATTGTAATCGAAAGATTATTTCCTGAAAGATATCAACGGATGATGTTGTAGATTATATTTAATCACTGGCCAATCTCTCAGCACCAATCCAATCGTTATCTCTCATTCTCGGCCGAATTATATTATAATAAATCTCAAGGCAGCGGTGCTGTAACTTGACTCTATATGATTATATGATAATGATGACAGTAATTTTTGCGCACTGGTGCAGACTAAATACAATTGACTACAAAGTTATTCAAAATTATAATATAAGTACATTGACCAATGAAAATTTGGTAGTCGATTTATGTACACAGTAAAATTTATGTACATCGGTTTTTAGTATACATCTGTGCGCACTAGTACTTACATCCAATAGAATTCGCTATAAAAAATAAATAGCAATTTAAAAATTAATTGACAAGTGATTATTATGTCACTACGATATATATACCTCGCGAAAACTGTGAGAAGAGAAGAAAAAAAAATCTTCTGAAGTGTATAGCCATGTTAAGTGTAAATTATGTTTATAATTATGTATATAAAAAAATTAAATTAT